TGTTGGCAAAGTAATGTCTCTGCTTTTTAATATGCTGTCTAGGTTGGTCATAGCTTTTCTTCCAAGGAGCAAGTGTCTTTTAATTTCATGGCTATAGTCACCATCTGCAGTGATTTTTGGAGCCCCCCAAAATAAAGTCTGTCTCTGTTTCCATTGTTTCCCCATCTATTTGCCATGAAGTGATGGGACCAGATGCCATGATCTTAGGTTTTTGAATTTTGAGTTTTAAGCTAGCCTTTTCATTCTCTTACTTTCATCAAGAGGCTCTTTAGTTCTTCGCTTTCTACCATAATTGGTGGTGTCAGCTGCATATCTGAAGTTACTGATACTTCTCCTGGCAATCTTGATTCCAGCTTATGCTTCATCTAGCCTGGCATTTCATGCGATGTATTTACTCTGCATATAAGTTTAATCAGCTGGGTGACGGTATGCAGCCTTGACTACTGCTTTCCCAATCTGGAAGCAGTCTGTTGTTCCATGTCTAGTTCTAACTGTTGCTTCTTGACCTGCATACAGGTTTCTCAGGAGGCAGGTAGGTGGTCTGATATTCCCATCTCTTTCAGAATTTTCCACAGTGATTATAGGAGTCTCAAAAAAGGTAGTGATCACTTTTTATGCTGTTAAGGAAGGTCTTTGGAGGAAAAATGAGCAAGTAGGAAGAGGATGATCACTGGCTCAAACATCCTAGTCCCTCTGGAGGTGGAAAGACAGGCTATTCCACACCACCCCCTCTTTCTGTGTCCTCTTGCTGTTTTTTCCCTTCCCAGGTAGGCAGAGGAAGCAAGTTGCTTATATAAGTTACAGAAGTGCTGGGGGTTTGAGTGATGGTTAGTTGAAGGCGGTGTCTGACGCCTAATTGTTTTCTAGTTTCTTTAGTTTGTGATGACTCTGTTCTCGGTGTTGAGTGCTGATAACCATTTTTCGTGTGATAGAAGTCCCAGGACGCCAATATCAGAGTACTTGTCTCATTGAATTGTAATTTTTTATATGTTTACTTTTCAAGACAGAGTGTGTTCTGCATCCTGAGCACTGCAGCTGTGGAGCACAATAGGAATCCAGTAGTATTTTTTGAAGTATCTTGATGGGTTTTTTGAGAAAAGGGCTCTGTGTTATGTAAAGAAACTTTAAGCTCTTAACTTTAACCACCTTTATCCTTTCCTCCCTCCTCTATTCCATAAACAAACTCTTGGGAAATGGAAATCCCAGGAGGATCCTGAAGAGATTGTCCACACCCACATGTCCTGACTGGGAAGGGGGAAATGAGAACCTGGGTGGGGTGAACCAAACCCTGTAGGTCATCTCACAGCTGTTGGCCCTGGACCCTAAGCCCTCTTCTTTGGCTGTTAGGAGCAGAATCCTCCTGGTAGGGAGGATTAATTAAAAATTAATTAGGATTAATTAAAAATCCTACCATTTTAAAATGGTAGTCCATTTAAAAAGTGACACTCTGCAAGAGGCTCTAGCCCTCCCGTAGGTACAGAGGACTCTGCTCTGCCAAGGCCAGCCCCGCTGGTTAACTCTTACAAGTGCTTAGGGTCTCAGGTCTGGAATGGAATGTGCCTGAAGCTGGGAGGGGGAGCAGTTCTTCACAGGCCACCAGGGGGCACCAAGCTCACGGAAAACCCTGATCAGGCCCGAGGAGCCTAGGTGAGGGACAGGAGCGCTCAGGATTCCGTAGCTGGTAGCTTGCTGAGGACAGCGCTAGGCTAGGTTGGTGACCTCAGGGTCAGACAAATGTGGAATTGGATTTTGAGCTTGGTCGCTGCCTACCCATGTGACCTCTGCGCCTCAGAATCTCATCTGTGATGCAGGAGCACCATTACCTTGCCTCATCAGGTCATCGGGAGGATATGAGATAGTTTATGTAAGAGGGCCAGTGCATTGTGGGAGTCAATCAATAAGCTTTGCTAAATTTCGCTAAGACCCATTTGTTTCCTCAAGTTACTTTCAGTCTAGGTGGAGACACATATGAACAATTAACTAACAGTTCAATGAAGGTGAGACCTGAATGATTACTGCAGACTCCAAGCAATCTAGTGTTCATGTCGGGGTGAGGTCACAGGGCTGCATTTAAATGAGATAATTAAATAGATTTTATTATACTTTTCTAGGGTGTATAAAATTAATAAAACAGAAAAAAAATCACCTGAAATCCCAGCCCTAACCCTAATGACATGAATGTGGATGTCAGAATGGGATGGGATTGGCTAAGGTGGAGGTAGGGAAAGTTGGGCTTCCCCGGCTGGCTCAGGTGGTAAAGAATCCACCTGCAATGCAGGAGACCCGGGTTCGATTCCTGGGTCAGGAAGGTCCCCTGGAGAAGAGAATGGCTACAAGGTTCACAGGAGTCCTGCCAGCTGCATCCTCTCACTCTACGTGAGCTATGGGATAGGACCCTAGGGCACAGACCCCTGCCTTACGATCATCACGGACACCACCTGAGAGCTGAGTCCTAGG